CCCTCTCTCTTGCCTCTCTCTCTATCTCTCTCTCTCTCCTCTCTTCCTCCCTTCCCTCCCCTCTCATCTCTCTCTCACCCTCTCTCACACAGATTTCGTCATACATGTGTGTTAGTGTTACAGGCGTGCGACACTTACCACTGGAACATGAGGTTTAGCGTCTTCTTTCTCATCACAGGCGTTCTCACAGTATCGATGATGTTTGCCTTCTTAGATGCTCCACTCGCCATCACGATTTTCTATAATAAGAGTTTATTCGAATTACTATTAAAATCATTCATAAATGAATAGTATAATTAATAATTAAATTAATATTATTTTTATTATTAATTTATTTATTTATTTTTATTTTTTATTATTTTTATTTGTTTAGTTTACTATTATTATTATTATTTAAATTTTTATATAATAATTTATCTAGGACGTGCAGCAATACGGCAAAGCTGCGGGCTTAGTGAGTGAGCAGGAATCTAAGTTGAGTAAAAGTTAAAGTTATATCATCATAATTATTATTTCACGTTTTCATATTTAACTCTACTAATTACATATATAAGTGGAGCAAAGCTATTAAACGTTTTTTAAGCTAGGTTAAGTGAGGACCAGGAAGTTACACCGCTGCGTCATTTCGTTCAATGGGAGACTTCTTTGGGGTTCTCAGATTGACCCTGTTAGGGTACTTAATCTGCAGCTATAAATAGTGACACGGGGGCAATTTGCGGCAAAATGAGCAGGTAATGTGTCTCTACACTTTATGGGCCGGCATGTAAGGACACGTCTTAATTAGCTTCATCTAATTAATTTGTAATTATTTATTTATTCAATATTCTTGCTTTACGCTTTACCTAATATACTTAATCAATTACATTAATTAAATATAAATAAATAGATTATGTTAATTAATTAACAATTTAGTTATGTTCACGCATTCGTCCTCACCTGCACCTCCTCGTCCACTTTCCGATGGAGTTGGCTGCCGCAGCGCCTCCTGGATTGGACTCTTGCGATCTCGCTCAGCGCTGCTAACATTCGCTTCTCGCATGTCTGTTGACAATTCGCCTGCGTGCGTCCGTGCGTACGTGTGTGCGTGCGTACGTGCGTACGTGCGTGTGCGCGTGCGTGCGTACGTGTGTGCGTGCGTACGTGCGTGCGTACGTGCGTGCGTGCGTGCGTGCGAACGTACGTGGCCGTACGAGCACAACACTCATCAAAACAAAAACCGGAAACGAAACACACATAAACGAGATCAAATTGCCTCCGATTTCCATCCAAAAAATAAATCTAACCGCGTCCACGCGCATGCGCGACGATCGCTGTCCCTTACACGTAGACGATGACGGCGACGACGATGACCCAGAGTGAGATTGTCAACTGTAGATGGCGCCAGTTCTGCAGTGCCAGCGCGAGCCACGGTAGAGCCATGTAAGCGATTGCAAATCCACATTGTATGATGTTACCGACGGCGTTACGATAGGCTGGTGTGACGATCTCAACGGCTGGTGACGAGAAAAATAAAATAAATTAATTAAAAAAATATTAACTAATTAAAAGTTAATACAGGCGTTACGATGGGATGGCGTGACAACATCTACAGCTGGTGACGAGAAAATATGGAATATAATATAAACTAATAATATAATAAATGACAAATTAATAATCAATAATTGAAAATCAAAGTCTGAATTTTGAACATTTATACATACGCACGCACGCACGCACGCACGCACGCACGCACGTACGCACGCACCGCACGCACGCACGCACGCACAGAGAGAGAGAGAGAGAGAGAGAGCGAGAAAGAGAGAGCGAGAGAGAGAGAGCGAGAAAGAGAGAGCGAGAGAGAAAGCGAGAAAGAGAGAGCGAGAGAGAGACACACTCTCCCTGCTTCTCTCTCTCTCTCTTTCTCTTTCTCTCTCCCCATCTCTCTATCTCACGCACGCTCACAACGCCAAACCCACACGCATGCGCGCGCGCATACACGCGTGCGTGTACACTCACCGTACACGAACGGGATGGGCATCGAGGTGGCTCCTACGAGGAACCTCGTCAGAGCAAAGACGCTGTAGTTAGGAGCGTATGCGTTCACTGAGCCGAACACCGCCATCAGGCAGAACACCAGCAACATGCACCGTCGCCTACCGATCCTGAAATCAACCAGCGAAGCGATAGGTTGATTAATTGATTGGTTGATTGATTGATTGATTGATTGATTGATTGATTGATTGATTGTTGTTGTTGATTGTTGCTGATTGT